CCTTATACGGGAAGGGTCCGTGACAGCGGGAGGCGTGAGTGGTCTGGCACTACACACCTTCATCCCTGTCCCTCCCAGAGACGTGGCTGGGCCCGACACCCGTTCAGCACCAAGTGCAAAGCCAAAGAAAAAGGTGTGACGCCTCCACAGAGGGCTGGGAGGAGGCACAAGGAGACCCGGGAACCGCAGAGACTGTATTATTACAGTTTGTTGGGACTGCCACAGTAAAGTACCACATCTTGTGCCACACAAGACAGCAGAAATTTATTTTTGCACATCCGGGAGGCCAGAAGCCCCAAATCAAGATGTTGGCAGCGCCACGCTCTCTGAAGCCTCCAGGGGAGGAGCCTCCTTTCCTTCTAACCTCACTTCACCGCCCTGCCAGTGCGTGCTGGGACCACTCCCCAGATAAATAGTTGCACTCAAATTCTCATCTCAGGGCCTCTGGGGGACCCAACATAAGACATCAAGTTTTTTGAGACCCTTATTGTCTCTGAGCAGTAACATCCTGTTCACACTTGGTGGTAGCATCTTTTGGGAAATTTGATGCAATATTTTCCCCAAGGTTTTAGATCCTTACGGACTCACCAGGCCAGACTTGTCTCTCCTAGAGATTGAGACTCCTGGGGGCCCCAGAGCCCAGGAAAGAGGATCAGCCAAGACTCCATCCGACCTGTCATTGGTGGCCGGCTGCTCCTGACCATGAACTCCCGGCACTTCTTGGCACCGCAGACAAAAGCTGGAGGTTCTCCAGGGCCTGGAAAGCCCTTGGGTGGTCACAGTTGCATGTGAGGGGACAGCAAGTGCCAAGGGGACACGACACGGCACAGATGGCATGCTTTCAGTTCTGGATTCGCGGTTCCCACCCTGTCTTGCCCCTTCCTCGCTACCCGCCCCAGACAAATACCCAGTCAGGACTGGAGTCCAAACTTGGGCCAATGTCTCACCATGGCACAGGGCCCTCTGCTGCAGGGTCACCGTCTCCTTCTTTCCCTAGAGAATGACCAAGTCTCATCCTACTATATTCCAATCTTGCTTATGAATACCAAGGCAAAACTCTTAAGTAAAATATTAGAAGGTACATTTGGGGGGAAGTATGTTAAAAGAATAACATAATACAACCAAGTAGAATTCATTCTAAGAATGTCAGAGTGATTCATATGGGAACTATCTTAGTTATTATTAATCACTTCAGTAGTTCAGAGGAGAAAAGTATAATTTCCTCCATAGAAAAATAACAGGCTGCCAGGTAGGGTTGCTCACACCTGTAATCCCAGCAATTTGGGAAGCCAAAGCAGGAGAATCACTTGAGGCCAGGAGTTCAACACCAGCTTGAGCAACATAGTGAGACCTCGTCTCTACAAAAGAAAATTAAAATTAGCAGCCTGTAGTCCCAGCTACACTGGAGGTTGGGGTAGGAGGATCGCTTGAGCCCAGGAGTGGAAGGCTGCAGTGAGCTATAACGATGCCACTGCACTCTAGCCCCGGTGACAGAGCGAGAACCTGTCTCCAAACAAAACAAAACAAAACAAAGAAACAACGAAAGAAAGAAAGACAAAAGAAAAGGCATTTGTCAATATAGGAAATCCACTCCTGATGTTGAAGTAGCTTTAATAAAGCAGAAATACGTTGTTCCTCCTTGATTTCTCTTGTGCTCGCGCTCTCTCTCGTTTCTCCCTGTCTCCCAGCACCATCCACGATGGGCACCACCAAAGGTTCAGAGACAAGCCAGACGTTCTCACTATCACTTCAGACACCTGGCATCATCCGGCAGAGTGAACCGATGCATCCAGGGACAAAGCCATCAGCAAGAGAAACATATAAGAAGCACAAACATACGAAGGGGGGTAAAGCTATCAATGTTTGCAGATAACATAACTTTATATCTAGAGGACCCAAGAAATTCCAAACTAAATGTTCCAAACAGTGGGCTGACTGATCACAAAAGCAAAATATAAACATCAGTCGCTTTCTTATACACGAATAGCAGGCAGTTCAGAAATACTCCAGGGAAGAAAAAATCCGACTCATAACAAATACAACCTCCTCTGTAAATCAAGATATCAAAAAGGAAAAAAAACCCTACGAATACAACTAATGATAAATATGTAGGAACTACATGAAGACATCTTACAAAATCTACTAAGACATAAATACAAGGGAATCTATTTATACCTTGTTCCCTCAATAGTGTATGTGTGTGTGTGTGTGTGTGTGTGTGTGTGTGTGTGTGTGTGTGTGTGTTGCTTCCCCTTTCAGCCCTTCTTGGTTCTGCCCCTGGAGCTGATCAGGAAATTGAGGAAGCTGGAGCGCAAAGCACCATGGGACTGACCGCCTGGAATCCGCTCTGGTGCTGTTAGTTGCTGTCAGTTGGAAGGCTCCCTGTTGTTTCTTGAGAATGTATATCCGCCCCTCACCACGGCTACCCACACCGCTCTTCACACTGTCTCATGGAATCCCCCGGAACCATATGGCCATGTTAGGATAATTTCCCAGAAACCCTTCCCCTCTGTGGCTGTGGCCTTCCTTGGGGTCGGGATAAACCACGGTCTCAGGGAGGTAACAGAACACGGGGACTGATCTAAACTCAGTAAGTCACTAAAGAGAGCAGGACACAGCACATGGAGACGAAAAGGCAACAGGCCGATCTCAGGAAAGGCAGGGAGCAGAAGAGAAGGAGACGGCCTTGCTGGGTTTTGAAAAGGGACAAGGGGAAGAGCCCCACCGTAAACACAACGGAAAATTCAGAAACGTAGCGACTAGAGGAAATGACATAAAATGAAATTTAAATTAAAAAAGCATTAAAATGTTTGGAAGAGGGACAAAAAAAGCCAAAAGTCAAAATAATTTAGTTAAAAACTGCCCTGAAATAAAGAGAACCTTCCAATTGCAATTGAAAGGCCACACAGACTCCCAGGGAAGAAAACACTAACGATCCACACCTGGAATATTCTGAGGTTACGGAACTTCAGGGTAAAGGAGGAACCTTGCAGGCCGCCGACAGGAAGCAGCCTGTCGTGCACGGGAAGGAGACAGGCAGGCCTCGGACTCCTGCGCAGCGTCCCCCCAGAACACAGCGGGGCAAAATCTGCATGTTCTGAGCAAAGGACGGGTATTCCGTGAGTTTTATACCCAGGGTAGTTGTTGCTCAGTGTTCCAACAACACACGATCTCCAGCATGCTAGCTAGAGCTTACGCAGTACAGCACCCTCGAGCCCTTTAAAAATAGAAACACGTCACGGTGAAATTCTGCCAACACAGCGGGAAGGCAAGCAAGGGAAAAAGAGCAGCCCTGGTGAGCAATGGCTTCATTTAAAAATAGAAAGAAAGAGTAAAGCACTGTGAGGAATGTTCACAGAAGAGAGTACAAATATTATAAATAAAAAAAATACTATACTAACGAAATCGGTACTGGGAAGAGGAGGGCGGGAGAGGGTAGAACATAAAAGTCTTCATCATTCATGGAAGAGTCAACAGGGAGATTAAACGTGTTGTTAAAAATAAGACTCTGATGCAGGGGCTCAGAGCCCAAGCAGCGTGGGGACGGTGTCCACACGAGGTGGGGGTCTTCCCTGTGGAGGGCCGGCCAGAGTGGGGCCACAGAGTCCAGAAGGGTGAGGCTGGGGTCTGGATAATAACCATAGTTTTGCCATTTTCTAGCTGAGTGGTCTCTTGTCTTCAAGCCTGTAGATTTCCCTCACGGCACTCACTCACAGCTTTCTTGTTTATTTCAGTGCCACCCGTGCTTGCACAGGGCTGGTGCTTAGTAGACACGTAATGACCGGTTTTGAATGAATAAGGGGGTGAGTGAATGAGGATCTCCCCTGGCTGCAGACACTGGCCCCGAGAGGGGACAACTGGGTGATCCGGGCTCATGTTCCCAGAAGGAACCACCAGATGGTCCCCCCGGGGCAGGGGACTCAGTCATAGAGACCAAAGCCAAGTGCTGCCCTGGGGACAAAGGCAGGCTGCAGTGAGGACCCAGTCCTGCTCCAGCCATACTAGGAGTGGCCCCAGTCACTGGGATGTGGGGACAAAACCATGCATCACCCCAAGCCTGGGCGTGGCAGGAAGTGGGAAGCCGAAGGCAAGGAAACAAGCCTGGAAGTGACAAGGGGACAGACAGCAGGGGAGAGAATTCAGAGAAGGACGTCCCGTGAAGGAAGTATCAACGCTGCTGTCCGTTTCAGCCACTGCTACAGACATCCCGTGTGATGGTGAATTTAATGTGTCCCTTGGCTAGCCCACCGTACCCAGATCCTTGGTCAAATGCCAGTCTGGTGTTCTGTGAGGGTGTGTTTTAGACAAGGTCAACATTCAAATCAGTAGACTGAGGAGAGTAGATGACCCTCCATATTGTGGGTGGGCCCGGTCCCATCAGTTAAAGGCCTTGAGAGAAAACAGACCACTGTCTCCTGCCTGTCTTTGTACCCAAAATGCAACGTCAACTCTTCCCTCAGTCCCGAGACTGCCAGCCCACCCTGCAGCTTGTGAACTGAGAGCGTCCACGTTGAGTTAGCCAGTTCTTTAAAATCAATGTTGCTCTTTCTCTTTGTCTCTCTGACTCTGTCTCTCTCGCTCCATACACATTCCTCCTATAAGTCCTGTTTCACTGGAGAACCCCGACTACTGCATAGAGCCTCAGGGAAAGTTCCAATGTTGCAAGCCCCTGTTGAGGAGGCCTCCTCTGGCTGCTCGCTACACTGTCCTTCCTGGCTGGAGCTAAGGCCGCCTCTCCTGCCCCTGACCGCTGCCCCTTTGATATGAGAAAGTGAGCTGCAAAACTGGGGTTGGGCCTGAAGACCAAGTGGGTTCTTGGCTTCCTGCAGGAAAGAATCCTATTGTGAGCCAAAAGAGAAAGGCAAAAGCAAGTTTATTGATGAATGAAAAGAAAAAAGGGCTGGCTGTCCCATGGACAGAGCAGCGGCCATCTCTGAGAGTAACAGAGAGTAGCCCTGCGTGAGTTTCTGGGGTCCTATTTTATATCTTGTATTTAATTTTATGTTCAGCAGAGGGAGGATTATTCATAAGATTTCTGGGAAAGGGGCGGGGAGTTCCTGGAACCCGAAGTTCCTCCTCTTTTAAACCATATAGGGTAACTTCCTGGACATGCGATGGCGTTTGCAAACTGTCACAGCGCTGGCGGGGGTTTCTTTCAGTACACGAATGCACTATGAGCAGGGTATAGCGAGCAGTGAGGGTAACCTGAGGCCAGTTTTCATCGCCATCTTGGCTCTAACTGGTTTTGGCCGGTTTCTCCACCACCTCCTGTTTGATCAGAGACCTTGGTTCGGGTCTTATGACTCCTTATCGGGCAGGGCCTGCCAGTTCCCTATCCCACCTTCAGGTTAGTGGCCTCTTTTTGGCCCTGGAGCTGCCTGGAAGGAAAAGTCCAGGGGGAGGAGCTTGAGAGGAAGGAAACAGTTGTCTTTTTCTCTTTATAAAGTGACTCACCGGCGTCCTTATAGAATTATGCATCGGGAAAAGCTTCCATCCATCCTGGAGAATTCTCAGTCTGGGGTCCTTACGAGAACCGGGACACGTCTCCCAGACTCACCCCTCTCTCTGGCCCCCCGGCTCACAGTGGCCAGCTCTGTTCCTGCTCCAGTATCTCATCTGTGGATTACTCCACAGTCCCCAAAATGCATGGTTATCGCCCATGTACCCCAAAGTGAGAGTAGCAGCCTGACTGCAGTGCTCTCAAGAGAGGTAAGACAACTTAGTGACATTAACAGGAGGGTTATGGTGACCATAGAGAGGATGTGACATCCAATCTCATGTCCACTTGTGCATGTCCAGGAGGTGAGGGATGGGGCTGGCTCCAGACTTCCCTCCCCGTCAAGGGGCAAAAGTGCAGCCGGCCGGGCAGCCAGAGCCTCTGCTCACCACGCATTCAAGTCTTCACGCACAGGTGGTCCAGAGTTTGGTTCGGTTTCTCTGTTTTCATGGGGTTTAGAATTCCGAAACCCGTTCTTGCCTGGAGCCCTGAACCCCACGAAGGCAAAAGAAAGTCCACTAACGTGGAAGGTGCCTCGGACTGGAGATTACATGTGGCTGCCATGGACGGGGCGCCCGGGAGGAAATGCATTTTCTACTGCGCTGCAGGCCTCCGGAGAAAGGAAGGCTCTGTCAGGCCCCAGGAGCTATGCAGAGAAGCAGGGGCCAGGGCGAGTCCCCGAGCCCCAGGAGGTACAACTACAGGCCAGGGGTCGTGGGGGCTGTTCCCTAAAGCTAGGCTGGCCCTGCCTCTAGAACCACTGTCACTTCCTGTTAGAAATGCTCTTCTTCTGTCGGAGGCTCTCTCTGGACAGGGCATCCGAGGGCATCGGGGCTACTGGTTCTCATCAGCGCGCCAACCCGGCCTCCCCGCACAGCTTCTCCAGGGCCTGTTCACCCAGAGGACGGCACCCAGCATGCTCAGGATCAGGGGCAGCTCCAGGAGTACGAGTAGCAGGAAGTAGGTGCTGCCGAGCAGGGACCTGTAGGGACACAGCGACAGAAAATGAGCTGCCTCCTGGGGAGGGGTATCAGGTCTTCCCAGCTCTCCCTGGGCCCGGATCCTGGCTTCTAATAACTGTGTGAGGGCGAGACTGGCCCCAGCGCAGTCTTGCTGCTCAGGGGTGAGGCCTCATGTGCCCCTGGCCCCGGAAAGCTTGGCCCGAGGCCTTTCTGTCCACGAGCATCCCGCCTTGTTGGCTGGGCTCCCACGACTGCCCTTCACCTAGCCCGTGTTGGAGCCACGCCGAGGCCTTCCCATTCCTTGTCTCTTTCCTTGGCTTCTGCTGTGTCCTTCATCCAGAAGGCCCTGCCCACTCACATGGCTGCCTGTGTGAGCCCTACCCATCTTTCAGGGGTCTGATCTCTGGAGGCTTCCAGAAACCACACCGGGTGGTTTCCCTCTGCTCTGACCCTCTGGATGGATCAGCACCTGCCCCCCAGTCCCCTTGCAACTCCCCATGGGTCTGTAAGACCCCAAACCTATGATACATGACCTTCCAGCCCCTCGCCACCATCCACCCCCTTCTCAGGGTCGCGACCTCCCAACTTGGGCCAGCCTTGTTTCGTTCCCTCAGCCCATCTTGCAGCCACTCTCAGCTCAGGAAAAAATTTGCAAAATCCAAGTGTCCACCTGCAGAGCACTGGCTGCAACCTACCATTAGGCTGGCAGTGCTCCTGGGAGTTGGACACGAGGCTACACGGCAGGCCACGGGTCAAAAGGCCCTCAAAGTCCTTTCCCAAGCTCTACATACTCTGGGGCTCTGCCGCTACATCTCTGGAGTCTTTTGCCCCCTGACCCCCAGCTCAAATCCCATCCATTTGCACAAAAGCACTGAGGAGGAAAACATCAAAAAAGAAACAATGAAAGACAGGAGTCCTAAAGCCAGTCCTGGCCGCAGTGCCTCAGACACACTTGCATGGCTGCAGACCGAGTGCGTGACAGGGTCAGAGTCAGACTGGAGAGGGAACTAGAGCAGCCTGAGGAGTAACCGTGGGAGGAGCTGAGAGGGAGCTCTGCACTGTGCTCCAGCAGGAGCAGGGTGGCGCGTGGCTGGGCTCTGGCCTTGCCGTGGGGCCTTGACCACAGCAGGCCGTGTGGAGTGAAGCCAGGCCACCCAGCAGGGGCCGGCCTCTGGGGATTCCTCGGGACACCCCAAGGTAGGGAGTATCACAGTTGTGCTCCACACTGCTCCGCCCAGTGGGGGGCTGAGAAAGCCGGACTTCCAGCTTCCCACTCTCCCTCTCAGCATTTTCCACCCCTACACTCTGGTATCTGTGCAGAGGCGGCTGGAACAATATTTGTTCTTGTGCAGGAAGCAGCAGCAGATAAGAGAGGGTCTCCCCCACCCACTGGAGGCCCCTGGGAGGTTGGAGGCCACGGAGGAAGGAGGCCGAAGGCCCCTGTCCAGTCTCCAGTCCTGCCACCTGGATGAACATTGTGCTTTCACGCAGCCAAAGTTCACATGGGAAATCTTATTTTACTCGAAGGTAAACTGAGGTTGGGGAAGCCTACCTCAGGCTTTGCAGTGACTTTATGATAAAAGGATATACCAGAAGAGCCATATGGGGGTCCCAGCCTCAGGACCCCCAGAACATAGGGTTATCAGATTACAGCAAATAAAAATACAGATGCTTCCATTAAATTTGCAGTTCAAATAAACAACATATACTTTTAACCATAAGTATATCCCATGAAAAATTAGGGATATACTTATGCTAAAAAAGTGGTGTTTTTTTTTTTTTTCTTTTTGTTTGTTGTTGTTGTTTGTCTGCAATTCTGATTGAACTGGGCATCCTGTGCTATATCTGGCAACCCTCTTAGAGGAGCGGCCATGGGGCCAGGCCAGTGGGAAAGCCGACAGGACCCAGCCCGCTTACCTGGTGAGGGGGCTGGTGGTCTTCGTACTGGTTGACGATGTGAAAGCCACACTTGCCACCGTGGTTGTCCTTTCTGGGGCTGAATTTTGTGTGTCTAAACATACAAAGCAGAACACAGTTCACCCTTCCATGGACAGGCCAGCGCTGGGTGTGGCCCAACAGCTTTTCCACCTAGGAATTGAGGGGCTTCTCCTCTGGCCCCCACAACACTCTGGTGAGCATCCCTAACATTGCATGAATTCTTTCCTAAAGAAAAAGTAGTTACCATACTCTGAGGAGCAAACTAAGGAGGCAGAATACACTCATCAGTTTAGTGCGAGTGGCGAAGCTTAGCACGCTCGATGGCATTTCACTCTCTCTGGGCCAGCCTGGCGCCTTGACACCTGTTCTGAGGATGGAGCCACTGAGCTGGCTGCCCCGCCCTGAGCCTCCTCCGGGAAGCCCCGGACACCTGACTCTGCGCAGCGGCTGAGCACCCTGCGCCTCTGCTCTTCCCTCGCTGGCCCTCTCCTGTCTTCCAGCGGCTCCATGGTTTCGCCGTGCCGACCCCAGTGGAGCCTCGCTGCGGTGAACAGGTCCCCACCTCCGCCATGCTGCCAACTCCTGCTGCGCCACACTCTCCTCACCCCGCCTGAGTTTTGATATTCACTTAGCTTCTGGGACAATTTAAACACAACAGATCACAATATTATACATTTCTTTTTTTGGATGATATTATTTTTCCATTCTTAAATCAAAGTGTAATTGACACGTAATAAACTGTAAATATTTAAAGTGAACAATTTTAAAAACTGCAACATACGTATATACCTGGTAACACGCAACATACGTATATACCTGGTAACACCACCACATTCACAGCAGTGAAGGTATTGGTAATCCCCAAAAGTTGCCTCATAACCACCCTCCTTCCACCCTGTCTGTAGGTGTCAAGGACTGAATTGTGACCGCAAGATTCATGTGTTGAAGCCCCAGCCCCAGTACTCAGAATGTGACTATATTTGGACACAGGACCTTTCAACAGGCAATTAAGTTAAAATGAATCTGTTAGATGGTCCCTATTGCAATCTGACTGGTGTCCTTGTATGAAGAGGAGATTAGAACACATGGAGAGACCTCAGGGGTGCCCAGATACAGAGGGACAAGCACATGAAGGGGCAGCAAGAAGGCGGTCATCTGCAAGCCAGGGAGGGAGGCCTCAGACAAAACCCAACCTGCTGACACCATGGTCTTGGACTTGCACCCTCCAGACCTGTGAGCAACAAACTTCTGTTGTTTATGGCACCCAGTCTGTGGTATTTTATTTTGACAGCTCTAGCAAAGTAATATAACAGGCACTGATATGTTTCCTGGGAATATCAATTACAGTGTAAGCTCTTTTGTGGACTGGCATCTTTCACTCAGCATAACTACTTTATTGTTTGTGTACCAGTAGAACATTCTTTCGAATTGCAAGTATATTCCATTGTAGAGATGTTTTGAATTTTTTAAATCCATTCACTTATTGATGGACATTTGAATTATTTCCCATTGGGGGCTATTACAAATAAAGCTACTATGAACTTTCCTTTCAAGTCTGCATGTGGACATAAACTTTTCTGTTATTTTGAGTAAAAACATAGGGGTTGAATGGCTCGACCATATGGTAGGCATATGCTTATCCTTGGAAGAAACTGCCAACTCCTTTCCAAAATGTTTGTGCCATTTCCATGCCCACCAGCAGTGCATGAGGGTTCCACTTGCTCTGGGTCCTCGCCAAGACTTGGTGCAAGGTCAGCGATTTTAACTTTGGCCTTTCAAAAGGTATATAGTGGATCTCATTTTGATTTTTTATTTGCATTTCCATAATGACTAATGATGTTGAGCATCTTTGAATGTGCTTATGTGCCATCCATATGTATTCTTCGGTGAAGTATCTGTTCAAATGTTTTGCCCATTTTTATTGGGTTGTTTGTTTCCTTATTACTGAATTTTGAGAAGTCTTAGCACACTTTGGGTACAATTTCTTTATTGGATTGTATTAGCTGTCCACTGATGGCTTATAAGTTACCAAGAAACTTAGAGGCTTAAAACAGCAAACATTCACAACTTGCTGTTTCTTTGGGTCAGGATCTGGACGTGCCTTAGCCTGGTCCTGTGCCACAGGGTGTCTCACAGGGCTGCAGCCACAGTGTCGGGCAGCTGGGACTTCAGCTATCTCCGGGGAGGATCTGCCTCTAAGCCCACTCATGTGATTTCAGCAGGTCTCAGGTTTTCTCTGGCTCTTGGCCAGAGACATCAGTTTCTTGACATTGAACATTATTTTTTCAAATAATTTGCTTGTCCCTCTGCCTTTTCAGTGACTCCAATTTCACTCATATTGTGTTGACTGGCATTGTACCATCGCTGACTAATGTTCCACTTCTTTTAAAATTGTTTTTGTCTCTGAATTTCATTTTGGACAGTTTCCGTTGCTGTCTCTTTAAAAATACTAATCTTTTATTCTGTAACACTTGATATGTCTGTGATCTCATCTAGTGTGTTTTTTATCTTAGACATTGTAGTTTTCAATGTTAAAGGTTTCAATGGGGCCTTTTACATATTTTTCATGTCTCCATTTAATTTACCAAACATGTGGAAAACAGTTATCACAACTGTTTTAATTTCCTCCTCTACTGATTCTAACATCTGTGTCAGTTCTGGCTTGGTTTCCATTGACTGATTGATTGATTGATTATTTGCCTGGTCATGAGTGGTGTTTTCCTGCTTCTTTGCATAACCATTTTCATATCATTATCATGATGTTTGACTGTATGCCAGACATTGTTTACTTACAAACCCTCATGAGCTTTGTACGGGGGTGCAGTTAAATTACCTAGAAAAGATTTTAATCTTTTAAGATGTGTAAGGCCATTGCAAAGTGGCATTTTGTCAGGGATAATTCTTTCTCACTACCAAGACAGGATACTTAATGAACACTCTTCTCAATACCCCATGAATTATAAGTTTTCCAGTCTGGTTCATGGGAACAGGTGCTATTACTGCCCTGTGGAGAACTGTTTCCTCTAGTCTTTTGGGGTGGTGCTTTGCCCAACCTCCGGTAGTTGTCTCACACACGTGCGCTGATCAGTCCTCTGTTAAATACTTCTGGGGAGCCAGTGAGTGGACCTCTAGGATCCTCACTTTTTTCAACTCTCTCCTCTCTGGTCAGACAACTGTGAATTAGGCTGTCCGCCAGCTAAAAACACATCCCATGAAAGGCCCAGTGTAAACACACACGCCAAGTCCCCATCGTTTCCAGATGGGGAGGTTGCCACCTGCTCTGGGACTGGACCCCACGAGAGCTGGGGGTTCTCAGAACAGTCCGCCAGGCTCCACCTGGCTTCCCTCTCTGAGTCTCCACCGAAAGCTCGCTCAAGGCAGTGAGCTGGGCAGGCACAGGGCCCCCCTCTTTCATTTGCTTTTTCTTGCCCAGAAGCAGAAGGTCTATAGTTTCCCTTCATGTGTGCGAAAGGTCTTTCCTCCCTACACAAAGCAACTCGTGCAGGACAGACACATACCTGAGCGTGTGTAGGGAGGGGGAATTCTTCCCCACCTCAATGGAGCCAGGAGGGCCAAGGGGCTCTGGAAGGAGAGACCTGCAGGAGTCGTGCGCCCCCTGCTCTCTGCAGCTATGGCTCTTTCCAGGCTCAGCTGAGGCTCCTCAGGCCCATGGGCGGAGTCTGGAGTCCTGGTGAGTCTCAGAGGCAGTCAGAGGAGAACAGGAAGGCCCCTGGAGCAGAGGAACAGCTTTCTCTCCTTTGCTCGTAAAACTTTTACAGTAATGTGTTGGTGTCCCCCACCCCCTGACCCTGAGCCAGACATGAGTATGGACAGACAGACGACCCAGGGAGGAGGAGCTCCTGGAAGTTCTTAGCCGCCCTCATGGTAGACAGGAAGCTTAATAATCAGGGGCTGTGTGTCTGGGCTCTGCGCCTCCTCCAGATCTGGTGAGTGAAGAGATAAGAGTCTTTCTCCCTTGAGGGGGTCAAAGTGGCTCCTAGAGGCCCCAGAGACTCAACTGCAGGCTCCACTGGAGTGTGACCGTCAGGCCTGGACCGTTCCCAGGAGGGCAAAGCTACTGCACTGATGACCAGGTTGGGGACACTGTCTCCTTTCAAGCCCTGCTACCCAAGCCCAAATGAGAACATTCCCCAGAGGTCCCAGGTGCCATGTGGGGCCCTGAGGACTGTGGTGCTGCCCCCGTGCCACGAGGGCCCTTGACTGGTGCCCACTGTCTGAGGGGAGCAGAAGCCCAGCCCAACACATGAACTCATGCAAACCAGGCCACTGGGGCCTCGGAACTGAGCCTCCCAGGAGTGTCTGCATTCTAGAAGGACTTAGGAAGACAAACTCCTCAAGCCCAAATGCATAAATGGAGCTTGGTGGGACTCAGCCCCAAGAATGCAGCTGTTTGACTGTGAAGGCCTTTCTGGGCCTTAAGAATTGCACCCCAGCACCCCGATGATGCTGGGCCTCTCTTCCCCCAGGATGGGTGTGGGATGGGGGTGGGAACAGCGGCTGTGAAGCCCCAGCCGGAACTCCACCGAGAGCAGGGCGCACCTGGGCACCAGAGGTCCCAGGAAGGCATTGGCAGGTTGGGGTCTCTGGGTACCATGGAAGGGGGTGTCTTTGGCCCGTGGGTGAAAGGGGGACCATCACCTTGTCCTCTGTGAGCAATAGACATAGACACTGAGCTATTCAGAGAAAAAAATAAATGTGCCTGGAAAGGCCTTGATCCATCCTGGAGGACACCGTGGGAGCCACAGGGCACGTGAGAGAAGACCCACCCTCCCGATGCCAAGTGGTCAGTCAGGCTCTATGAGACCTCAGGACTCAACCATCCTCTGCGACAGGTGACACTCAGTGACAGTTACCTCACTCGAGTGTGAATTCAAGGACCAGGGCAGAGCAGTCCTGAGAGACTCCACACCCTCTTACCTGGGTCAACGGTCACCTCAACTCGGACCCCATGGTCAGCTCCAGTTCTCTCGATCCCACACCAGTAAGTGTCAGCATCGTCTCTCCTGAGCCCCTCCATGGTCACGGTGAACATGTGGTTTTTCTGATTGTCTCTGATGGACACATGGCCCTTCCTCACCTCCTGCTCTGATCCAGTGGTCTCAACAAGCATCTTACAGCGGCCCCAACGAGCCCCTCGACACCACCACTTCCTGTGGGTTTCCCATCCTGGGCCATAGCGACACTGCACGGTCAGTGAGCCCCTCTCCGGGCCTCTTGCTGTTCCCGGACCAATGAGTGGATTCCCAACAGTGGAGTAGCCTGGAAAACACAAATCCATGTACCTGTCACCTCCCGCCCCAAGGGCAGGGCCACAGCCTCCTGCATTGGGAATAGCTCCCAAATCCCAGTGTCACATGCGTTAAATAGCAGTCAAGGAAGAAATACACCTTCCACGTGACAAAGCTTTTGCCCTTCAGTGTTCCGCTGGGTCAAAGCCACCAGGAAAGTCACTGCCCAGCACAGCCACAGACCCCAAAAGAAACAACAATGTTGACACTGAGCAATAATAACTTCTCCTAATTCACCCCTCTCTACTCCCTACGGCCAACAAATATTTTCATTTCAAGGACTGTTCTTTTGCAACTGTCTTTGTATTATGCTCATCTGATGGCAGAAAACACCAAAAGACCCTTTTCCACAGGGGAATGGCGCTGCCTTGACTCTCCACTGTTCCTGGAGGTTCTAGCGGTCTCCAGTGGCTCTGCTGTGGCGAACACCTGGGGAAGCCTTTCAAGTCCACAGAAACAGTGATGCCAACTGGTCTCCACGTGCTGTGGGATCTCAGTTTCCCCATCAATTGTTGTAAAAATTCCAGCCTCAAAATTCCTAGTAAGAGCTGCCCTTTAAGGTAAAGCAAGTAAAGTTTAAGTATAAACAGGGTGTCACCCGTTCTATGGCCTTCGTGTCTTGTAAGATTTTTACTAAACTCAGTGACAATGAATTTTTGGATGAGTCCAGTGATGTGGAATCCACACATAGGAAGGCCCGACTGTATATCACAATAGATATAAAAACTGGTCATTATCAAGGGATGCTTTGTGACTCCAGAACTATATGCTAATAGGTACTCAATAAAATAGTTAATTTCTGGGGACGGGGGGCTGATAAATAGACTCGAAACTAGCAAAAAACTTAAAAGGACCAATAATCTTTTGGGAAAAAAATCTAAGTTATTAAAGAATTTATTCCAGTAAAGGCTCTGTTGGCAGCTAGCATCATAGGTAGTTGTTTTAAATTTCAAAGAAACAAAAATTCCTTTGCTATATGTATGTTCTGATTTCAGAGCATAAAAAAGGGAAATCTGCCAAATTCCTTTTGTGAAACTAACACATCTCTGATCACAAGCCTCGACACGGACAGCACAGGGACATTACAGGGAAGAGACACACTTAGGAACACAGATGTGGACTTGAGTCCTGACAGCGGGATCAGCCACAGTCGGGTCTGTGGGCCCCACGCCCACAGCTGTCACTGCAGCTGTTTTTGTTCCCAACTAAGCCCGTGTCTTAACATTGAGAGTCTCCACTCAAAATCCAGGCTTCTGGCTGCTCTGGAAAAACTGAAAGATCCGAAATGACAGAGCCACTTCTTGCACGAGGACCGTGGGCTGCAGTGGGGCGGGGCTGGGCCTCCCCCGCATCTCTTGCTCCTGACTGCGGAGGCCCTCACCACTGCCCAGGGTCTCCCCGCCACTGAAGCCTCGTGTCAGTTGCCATTTGTCATGCTTCAAGTGTTATTTTTGGTTCAATAAGGAAAGATTTTCCTGTACCCTGAATCTTTCAAAGGTGAGGAAAGGAAGGAAGAACAGGAAGAACTTATACGTTAAGGCAATGCCGCTTCATCCTGTATAACCTGCCTGGAATGGTAGGAGGCTGCGTTCACAACCTCTAACGCAGATGTGAAAGCTCTACATTCCACACACACACACACACACACACACTCACTAACACTCACACACACGATCGCAGGCAGGAGTCAGGGGCAGGAGGTCCATCTTCATTGCCTGGGGAAGGGAGAAGGAGACTGTGAAACCTCCATCCTCAGCACAGTGGTCACGTGACCCAAGAGGGATGAGTCCTCAGCTGGGTCAATGGTCCCTTCACCTTGGACCCCAAGGTCAGTTCCACGTCTCTCAATCCCACACCAGTGTGTCAGCATCGTCTCTCCCGAGCACCTCCATGGTCACGGTGAACATGTGGTTTTTCTGCCTGTCCCTCATGGACACACAGTCCTTTATCACCTCCTGCTCTGATCCAGTGGTCACAACAAGTCCCGTGCACTTGCTCCACACAGCCCCTCCACACCACCACCTCCTGTGGTCCTCCCGTCTTGTGTCACAGCAACGCTGCGTGGTCATCCATCTCCCCTGTTGGCCGCTCACTGCAGTTGGACCACTGACGGAGAAGCAGCTGCAAACAGAAGCCTGCAGCCCATGTCTGCCCACCCGAGCCCAGGGCTGGCCTGGGAGCCACTGATACCTGAACGACCCCAGACAGCCTCCTGGGGTTGGGCCACGAGTATCCTCCCTCTCCAGATCCTGCTTAGTTCTCCCTGACCCACCATCCCACTGGCTCCTGCAGGATTCCAGCCCATGTCCAGAACGTACGTGTGATCTTTCAGGCCTGACCCTTGGCAATTGCAAAGGTGTTCCCTGGCAGGCTTCACGAGAGAAGCGGCCCTCCCTCTGCACACTTGGTGCGGGCCTATGGGTTGTAGCCTCTGGAGGGAGCTGTGGTGAGGACTCGCCACCCATGGCCGGCCAGTTCTTAGGCACATCTGCAACCTGGCCCAGGGTCCCCTTCCAGAGTTCTTTTGACAAGGAGACTTTGGCCAATGCCTTCCTCAGGTGCCTCTGCCAAGACCTCTTTATGGAGAAGGAGTGGAGCAGGAAACTTGACACCTTTCCACTCTAACTCAGTGTTCTGGACTTTTCCACACAGATTTTTTTCCTCCATTCTTTTCGCCACCCTCCAGGCTCATAAAACTGCAGGAGGCTTTTGTGCAGGGCTCCCCTGGGCTGAGGTGACCCCCCTCTGACACTCACCCAGCACAGGGGTTCCGTGGGGGAGAGGGAGAGGGAGAGCTGGCAGTTCTCTCATGGAACCTCTTGATGCACCAGCACAGGAAGAGGCCTTGCGTTTCTGTTTCTGTTTACTGTCTTTGTGGACAGCTCTGCTCTAAGCTCAGCCCGATGCAAGAGACTCCCTGATCTTTTGCAATTCAGCTTTCGCCTACAGGACTTGGGAAAAGTTCTGCTCTCAACTCCTAACTGCCAAACACAGTGGCCTCCGCTCACCCACCATCCCACTGCCCACCCCTCTTGGGAAAAGCTCTCTCCTTCCACCCGGGGCAATGTACCCCAGCCTCCTGTCACCCGCACTCGCTTCGGTGTGTTATTAAATTAGAAATCTGGTCGTGCAGACATCGTGGCTTCCTTCTTCTCGAGCACTAGCGGCCTTCAGCAGACACACAGCACACACTTAATAACCCTAACCCTGACCTCCTCAGATTAAGCCCAGGCTCCTCGGCATGGAATCCAAGATCTGGACCCTACGTGAGCTCGTCTTTGCTGCTACCCTGGCTTGCATCACCTCGCCAAGCACTCGACATTCTAGCTACCCTCCTGAGGGCGAATCGTCCCAGCATTTTAAGGTAAATTTAGGGGTGACCCTCAAGCAGTGGTTCTCAAACAGGGTGATTTTGCCCCACAGAGGACATTGGGCCAGTGCCTGGGAACATTTCTGATTATCACGTGGGGGAGGGGGCTGCTGTTGGCATCTACTGGGTGGAGGCCAGAGATGCTACTAAACACCCTACAGTGACAGGACAGACCTGACCTCCTCCCTGCCTCCAACAAACAACCAAGAACGATCTGGCCCCAAAATGTCAATGTAGGGGCAGAATTCTCCCAGTGGACAAAACCCCAAGCAGAGCACCTGGTCGCTAACCTTGCCTGAAGGGGAAGATGCTCAGAGTGACAGGGCCACATGGGTTCCTGCAGGGCAGTTGCTGTTGCTCAGCTGAAGGGTCGGGAAGTTCCATTACGGGTTTCCTCAGAAGCTTCTGCAATTTTGAAACTTCTCCAGGAAATTCCCACCAACTATCTCAGTCTCAATCAACAGAGTGACGGTTCCCAAGAGCTTACCAGCAAGCCACACCGAATCCCTCATCTGCCCATGCGTACTTCAGCTGCCTCCAGGGAAGAATGGCTTCTTTTCCTCTTTCTAAATCTCTGACAGGTGCTCCCACTAATAAACTCCAACCCATGGAGGGAAGGCGAATTGGGGAAATGCAATTCCTGGTTTTCCTCTATGATGCAGAAGAGGCCTTGGAGGAGTGGTAGAGACGTGCAGTTGACAGCAGATGAACTAGCACTGTTCACCCCTTTATCACTCAGCATCCATGTTGTGCCGGACAGAATGTGTTTCTCCAAAATTCATATGTGGAAGCCCCAACCCCCAATGTGATCATATTTGGAGATGGGGCCTTTGGGAAGTAATTAGGGCTAGATGACGTGATGAGGGTGGGACCCTCGCCGTCGGATTAGTGCCCTTATAAGAGACACCAGGGAGCTTGCTCTCTCTCTACCTGCCCCAGCTGCACACACAGAAGAGGTTAGTGAGGACACAGGGAGAAGGCCACCGCCCACAAGCCAGGAAGAGAGCCCTCACCAGGCACCTACTCTGTTGGCACCTTGACCTCAGACTTTCCAGCCTCCACACCTGTGAGAAATGCATGTCTGTCTACTCTGTTGTGGCCGCCTGAGGTGACCGATACACATATGTACCCCTTCTATCCGTATTAACTTCCAAATTAAGCCAATAATCACGTGTATGACTGCCCGGCAAACTTTCTGCAAGCAAACCTCCCTGTCGGAGTTTTTCCTCCTACATATTTGATAAATCAATGGATAAGTAACTCTCGTGGTGCCCTCCTTCCCTGACTAGCTGCGCTCCTTAAAAGTTCGCCGAGAATGAACTTGCTCATTAGCTCATTCATCTGTTTATGTAGAACAGCCAGGCGTAAGAAACACTATTCTAAAAAGGAAGCATTTTTACTTTGTTTTGGTTTTGCCTGTTTGCACAGCACCTAACGCAGACCCTGTCAGACAACGGAAACCTGACTGTTGTTTAGCAGACACGGCCAGAGATGAGTGACTCGGGCCTGCCCTTCTCTCTCAGTGTCTCCGTCCCCCAGGCCGGACCCTCTCTGTCTCCTGTCCAGCACCTGGCATCCCAGGGTCTGAAGCCCCCGCTGCACTCACCTGACAGGATGACAAGGAGCAGAGCAGGGCACAGCCACATGGTCCTGGCTCCTCTCCTCGCCTGGGCGCTCACAGGTGCTCAACGCCCATCAGGGACTTGAAGCCAAGCTCAGAAGAGAATCCCCCACACCGGCTCCAACGTCCGAGTCTGTCTCATTCACGTCCTCCTATGTCTGCAGCTATTTCTCCATTTTCCATATTAGGAGGAAAGGGGTGTCATTCTTGAGTCACAGTGTGTGGCACAAGGTGTGTCAACACTTTTGTGCATGTGGGAAAGAAAAAGGACCCAGACCTGGTGGGGTTTGCATGGAGAGCAGAGACGGGAGCCGAGAGGAACCCAGGCATGGGGACGCGGGATCTGCTGCCAGCGGGAGAGGACGAGGCTGGCAAGGGGGAGGGTGGGGCGAAGAGGCCCCGGATGGAGACGTGTTTGTGGGCGGACTGCTCACGAACAAAGCTCCAATTGGCTCCCCAGGCTCCAGGCTCACTCCTAACCCCCACTCCTCATCATGCCTCTGACTCTGCATTCAGAGCCTCGCCTGAGTTCTACTGGGCAGGGCAGGGAGAGGTAAGTTGCAAAACACAGTAGCTTTTACCTGCCCTGTACCCTGAGGGTACACCCCGCATGCCCCAGACCACCAAACCCCTAAAACTTCTGACACTGCAGGCTCCGGCACCTGTGGAGGGTTCTCTCCCCTTCTCTGGAATGTACCCAAGTTGCTAGTCTCTTCTTGTCATCAGGTCCTGTGAATGTGATGTCATCAGCACAGGGGACGCACTTTATGTTCTGGCAATGGCAGGATGAGTCATGTTTCTTAGGACTCTACTATGAGAATAAGAACATTAACGCAGTCTGGAAAAAGACAATGAAAGTACACCGTTGTCCACGCCAACTGAGCACAAGCTGCCTCTGTTGCTCCTTCCTGATGGGTACAGGAGAGGACACGTTGGCCGGATCCACAGTCACGTAAAACACACTGAACTGTGTTCGTCTACTGCGGTAAATGTTTCACAACTGGCACAGAAGCTGCAGTCTGGCCACTCCTTGCTTAAGTTCCCACTAGCGCACGGACATTGGGCAATCACAGGCTGACTTGTGTGCTTTAAGTCTTGGAAGGTGGCACTAATCTCTGCGCTTATCATGAATATGAAATTTTTCGGATTCACCGTCTCAGCCACAGCAGAGGGGCAACGTCAGAGACTCCCAATTGGCCCCCCAGTGTGATGACTGTGACCTCGCAGGCCAACGTCAATACCAGAATTTAATTACTTGGTGGATCCACCTCTATTGTGTTTCCAGAAACCAGGGACAGAAACATGGAGTTACCTGTCTTGTCTGTAGGATCTTGATCTCGGCTCTTGTTTCATTCAGAACTTGCTGCCTGGTCCAGTAATTATGCTCAGCCTGCCTTGGACAGCTGGGTGTTCCACCTGCCGTCCACTCTTCTGGAATCCTACGCGCCACACTGACCCTATGGAGCTGGGTTATGTAACAATCTGTCCTCCAGTGAGCCCGGCCTGGAGACAAGGGCCACTGCAGAGCCTCTCAGTAACGCTAAGGTTCCCTCCCCAGCATGTCCTGTTTCCCGGGTAATTGGAGTGCCCTCCGGGACATCACAAGGATACACTCACTTGGTGGGTCTTCGGGTCAAATATAATAGTTCCATTTTAGCATACTAAATTCTTTCACCATTTTTTAATAGACTTCCTTTTTTTGAGCAGTTTTAGGTTCACAGCAAAATGGAGCAGGAAGTACAGAGACTTCCCGTGTACTCCCGCCCTCACGCGCGCACAGCCTCCCCCATTACCGCCGCTCCCGCAAGAGCGGTGTATTTGTTGCAATTGACAAACCTGCTCTGACGCGTCCTTACAATCCACGGTCCGCGGTTTCCACTGGGGCTCGCTCGTCGTGTTGGGCGTTCTTCGGGTTTGGGCAAATGTACAAGGACATGTCCCCCCATTATAGTATCATACGGAGTAGCTTCACTGTCTGCAACGTCTCCTGCGCTTCTTGAGGCTCTAGATCCCTTCCTCCACGCCCTGCCACGGCCATCCCAGCATCTTTACTTAGTTTCACACGGGGTTTTGTTACCTCCAAGCTCCTCTGAGCCACCCCAGCACAGCACTAGACCCCGTCTTCCGGCTCCGCAAGTGTCGAATGCCCCTGGACTGTGTGTCTGAGCCCCGCCATGTTGGCAAACTCTTCCTGATCTGCCAGACCCACTCGGGGTTCCGCGCCCACACACACTCTGCTGGTTCCTGCAGCACAGATCAGTTTTGCTTTTCTCTGAGTTTCCAGCTGGTCCCCAGGTGAACTGTGCTGACACTGACCCCGGTCGTGGGTCTGGGGTCAGGAGAGGAGAGGAGGGCAGGTCCCCGAAGCACATCCTTAGAGGGCAGCAGTGTCCGGTGAGGCAGCTGCGTCATTTGACAGGTCACCACCGTCTCCGGCAGGGAGCCGTTACCTCCTAGCGAGTGCGTCAGACGCTCTGCAGACCCGGGGCCTCCAGGAACTGGGGCCGCCAGGGTGCAGGTGTGTTGGCAGATGTCCCAACCCACATCTCAGGCCCTGCTTTGCCCTGGGAGGGCCCAATTTGTCTGACACACTTGCTGAGGCGAAGGATTGAACTTTCCCTGCAGTTTCACCTCTCCTAAAGTTGGCTCCCTCCTGGTCTGCGGCACAGTCCTTCCTCCTGACGACGGGAATGAGGGTCCCTTCACGTGCTGCTCAGGAGGGCGCACAGAGGCTCGCCACAGGCGTGGGCTGACACATTCACAGTGACACTACTCATGGTGGCCAAGAACCTGGAACTGCCCAAATGCCCACAAACAGAATGGGTAATTTGACAAAATAATAAAAACAACAAGAAAACATTTCAGATTGTGCACTTTTTAATATATGAGGTTTCCTTTATCCCACGTGTATCTCAATAAAACTAGGAAGGAACGAAGGAAGGAGGAATCCAACGCTCCTGCAGTCCTGCGCTCCCCTGCAAGTTCTGGCTGCAGGAAGAAGCACCAGGGCTCACTGGGACACCCCGAGGTCCCAGAGAAGACTCAGACCCACAACATGAACAAAAGCTGCTCAGGAGTGTCCTCCAACACTTCGTCCCTGGACCTGACCCACCAAGTCCCCTCACCCCCACCGCCGCTGGCAAAGCCCTGGTTGCTCTGCCTCCCTGCCCCTACCCCACCAGGCCCTCTGAGGGCGAAGACACCACTTGCTTTGCCTTAGGAAAGCTAAGCCCAGGGCCATGGCCCAGGTGTTATGACCGACCAGTTTTAGAGTGAAGGTGACCGACCAATTTTAGAGTGAAGGTGACAGGCATTTCATTTTGAGCCCATCTGAGCTGCTAATAGGGTGCAAATCTCTACGAACCAGCCAGTAGCATCGGAAATGAGAGCTGAGCTCTGAGCCAGGAAATCGGGCTACAGGTAAGAGGCGGATGTGACAGTCCTGTGCAGGAAGGTAACTTTAGAGCGTGGGGTGGGGACAATCCCCAAGAGAAGAGCATTAGGACAGACTCCAGGAGATGCCAGGAGTGGGGGTGAGAGCACGGAGGGGGCTTCAGCAACTAAGAGAGAAGAGAGGGGGAGGCAGCTGGTGCCGGGCAGGGAGGCCCATCCGAAGGAAGAGGGGACAGGCTGGAAAGTCACTTTGGAGTCAGTAGAATAAGCAGTTTTGGTGCAGTGAGATGGCCCATAGCCAACAGCCAGGGACAGACAAGCAAAGCGATGGGGAGGAACAGCCAGGGACAGACAAGCAAAGCGATGGGGAGGAACAGCCAGGGACAGACATGCAAAGCGATGGAGAAAGAAACTGGGACAAAAATAAAGCCAAAGAGAAAAGGCAACTTCCCTCCCTGACTCCCCCACCACAGGCCTGGGGTTCACAGTGACTCAGGACCCCAGAGGAAGCAGTCAGAGGGGAGGGCCAGCGGGTCAGGCTCTGGGAGGGGCAGCAGCCAGGGCAGGAGACGCCCTGCGGTAGGGCCACCTGGAAGGAGTCTGGGGCGCAGACTCTCACTCGAGGCTGTGCGTGAGCCTGAGCACCGGCTACTTCCCAGGTGTGAAGCCAGCGTCCCCAGGGAGGGAGCGAAGAAAGATTTTATTACCTGACAGTTACTAAGTGAGGTGCTGGGGGGAAATATAAAAATAACATAAATGGTATCTGTGTTCTAGGATAGTGTCTTTTCTCAACCCTGGCAGGCAGAGAGATCATGACTTCTGTCATTTCCCCCGAGACTGAGCTGAAGGATCCTTCCGAACTCCTCCTCTGTTCCTTGGTGCTTCCTCCGTGGTGTATGTTCTTCAGCTGCCGTTCCCGCCCCTTGAGCTGTCAGCTGCGAACGGTGCTGGTTCGCTTGCGATGGCAACTGTCCTGCGATTGCCAAAGAGCAGCGGGAGGAGCCGCGGAGGGCAGGGGAGGGTTGCCGGTGCCCCAGACAGCGCTGTCGAGAACACTGCCCCCCCTACATCCTGACTCAAGGTCCAGCGCCCACACACCACTGACCACAGGGCAAGAGCCACAGCTTCCCCAGCGCGGGACAGCACGGAGGAGCCACAAGCAGCAGCAGCTGCAAACAACCCTGTTCGCAGCCCCCATGTGTGCAACAGAGCCATGCTCATCTCTCCTAAGCATCTTGCCTCCCCCTAGAACTGACTGAGCTGGAATGTTCTAGTTATCTATCGCTTATGTTTCACTTTGTGGCGTGAAACAACAATCATTTTGTTACGTCAGAGATTTTTCTGTGGTCAGGAATTCGGACAGAGTGCAGCAGAGATGGCCTGTCCCTCACCCACGATGTCTGGGTCAATGTCAGCTGGGAAGACGTGGAGGGCTGGGCGCTGTTATCACCCGGAGGCTTCTCCCCCACATGTCTGAAGCATGGGCTGGGCCCAAGACTGAGCTCAGGTGGGACTGTTACCCAGAGACCCTACACTTGGCCTTTCTCTGTGGCAGCTGGGTTCTAAGAGGCCACATCCCCAGAGCGCAGTAGGTTCAAGAGGCTGAGGAAGGAGCTGCAGGTTTCTCCTGAGCTGGCTTGGGAAGCCACGTAGAGGCACTTTGACCATGCTCTGGCCACGCATACCCAACACGGGCAAGTATTGGT